TGGCCTAGGGGTATTTTAAAGGGGTTTTAAATTAAATTTTTAGTAGAAGCGGCCAAATTTAAATAGTTATTTTTAATCTTTTTTAAAGTTTGTATTGTATTATATCATTGTTTTAAACTGGCTGTAAGCCGCCCTGAGTCCTCCGGGAGAAGGGCGGGGTATAAATTTAATAAAATCTAAATCTAAAAATCTAAATCTAAAATCTAAATCACACAGTCAGCCAGATGTTCAGACTGGATTTGGCATTTTGTCTACCAATCGAGTCCTTACCCAGGACCTGGGATAGGCAGATGTGGATGTTTGATGGTATTACAGATATCGTTGCCGGATGGAAGCAGTTCCTATTATTATTATTGTTTTGTTGTTGTTGTTGTTGTTGTTGTTGTTGTTGTTGTTGTTGTTGTTGTTGTTATTATTATTATTATTATTATTATTATTATTATTATTATTATTATTATTATTATTACTGTTTCCAGCAACACTGATAAGATTCTAGTTGTCCAGTTGGGTTCTTCTCTGTCCCAATGTGCTTCTGTTTGGGATAGGAGAATTTATCCGTTTGTTTTCTCTTTCTTTCTCTTTTTTTTTCTTTTCTTTTTAACACACAATATTTTTGACCGGGACAAATGCAGTATTAGATCTGGAGAAAATATTGCCCACCCATTTATTCCCCACCCCCCGCTTCAATGCTTGATGTAAGAAGCTTAAAACCCAAGTCCTACCAGCTGTAGCTTGCCCTTCAGCTTGTTCTATAAACCTTTTATCCCTCTCGGTGGGATTGTGTGTCACTGTGCTGCAAATTGTGTGTCATTGTGCCATCCTTAAGGGTGCCTTTAGGCAGCAAACAGCCCAGGACATGGACTGTTCCAGTTTTGCTTGACAATAACTGAAAACCAACAACAGATCTGTGGCCTGCACCCATAAGCAATTTTTGTACAGACAGCGCCAGTCCTTTGGTAAATCTTATTTGAGTTGAGCAATCTTTTTCAGTTCGGTTCACGGCTGCTGGTGCTGTTCCTGTGGTCGTTATTTTAATCGTTTCTAGTGCTGGAGCGGAGGTGGCGCAGTGGTTAGAGTGCAGTGGTGCTGCAGGCTAACTCGCTGCTCGCTCCAGGAGGTCGATCCTGACTGGCTCAAGGTTGACTCTGCTTTCTGTCCTTCCCAGGTCGTAAAATGAGGACCCAGGTTGTTGGGGGCAAGATGCTGACTCTGTTAACCTCTTGGAGAGGGCTGTAAAGCACTGTGAAGCAGTATACAAGTCTAAGGGCTATTGCTATTATATGTTGAGGAATTGTGGGTTCTCTCTGTCTCTCTATCTCTAATTATCTATCTATCTATCTATCTATCTATCTATCTATCTATCTATCTATCTATCTATCTATCAATATATCAATCTATCTATCATATACATTATCTACCTGTCTGTCTGTCTATATCTTATCTATCATATACATTATCTATCATATACATTATCTATCTATCTATCTATCTATCTATCTATCTATCTATCTATCTATCTATCTATCTATCTATCTATCTATCTATCTATCTATCTATCTATCTACTTTTCAATCACATCCGATCTTCAGAGACTGCCTGGACAAACCCCCTGCAGTTTTCTTGGCAAGGTTTTTCAGAAGAGGTTTGTTATTGCCTCCTTCTTAGGGCTGAAAAAAAGTGGCTGGTCCAAAGGCCACCGGAGGCAAGACTAGAACTCACAGTCTCCCGGTTTTTAGCCTCGTGCCTTAACCCAAACGGTCCCTCTTCCTCCTACCTGTAATAAATTGATTTGTCCTTAAGGTGCCACAAGGTATTACAGACTAGCACTCAACCCTAAAAAAAAAAAGCTAGTTTGGACCTGCTTTTAGCCGTGGGTCTCTTGGGCCTGAATCCATTAAGGACTAGTAACTTGCTGTTTATCTGAGAAAGACTGAGTACCTGAAGCTGTTTGTCCTCCAGAGAAGGGCACGTACCTAGTGATCTTCCCGATAGCTCTACTCACCCGTACCATCTGTCCACTGAGTCTTACCAGCTGTCACACAGATGGATCAAGGAAAGCCTGTTTTCCCCCTGGTTCCTGATCTCCACTTAAAGAACTCGAGCAGACAAGACTTTAATCACCCTTTGGGCACCTTCAGAGAGCGAA